GAGAAGTTCCGGTTTCCCAACTCTCAGTTTAGACTATTGGATGTCCTATCAACGTCACAATGACAGTGGACCGAATGGCACAAATGTTCTGATTCACAGCCAATATCATCACATTTTTACTGTTTCCCCTTACTACACAGTGTGCAACTTGAGATCGTCTGCCTGCTGTGAAGGTGTTTGGACCAATAACTCGCATCTCCCCAGGCGGCCGGGTTGTACACTGCCCTGATACTAACATTCAGTTCTGGTAGGGATAAAGAAAGAGGAACATGTTGCCGCAATCATAATCGCTGTATTATCTTACTGACATAATAGTGGTACTAATCATTCCTGGTTCCTGTCCATAATGTACATGCTACTAGTGGGAACATAACGTGATGAGCGCAATATAGATCCACTGTCTGGCTGTCTTCACATTGGATATGGTAAAGATCCAACACTATATCATTCACTGCATTGTTTGTGTGTTCGGAGTAGTCCAGGGGGTGGACTTATTGTGGTGGAGTGGCCCTACAGATGATTAGTGATTGTGCAGAGAGGGAAAAAACCCACAACCAATCAATCTGTGTCATTACCACCACCAGGTACTAGGAACTTGAGATATAACACGAACTGTAAATGGAGAAAGAAAACACAGAGAACTGTAAATATTATTCACCGAAGGCATTGCGTTCTCACTTTGCACTACAAGGTCTGCAGAGTCCACACCAGTCTTGGTAATATTGAGGACTCGAATATCAATCACAGCCTGCAACTGTACTCAGCTCCATGTGAAGTACTCAGGGGACTAAACGTAAGGTTGCTCATACTAACAGTTTCACTAATAGAACGAACTTCGCTCTGTGTTACTCCACTACTGGCTACACTACCTCCACTCCAAGTGACAATGAGTATTGCACTCTCTGAAAGATACTCCACAGTAGTCACTGTACATATCAACTCCATCACTTCACCAGCTACACCAATAGCGGTTGAAAGAGTCACATTCGGGTCTGGGAGGTCTAGGGAAACAAACAAAGTTTATGATGGATATAATTGTGTAAGTGTATGATGTATTCACCAATAACTTGAATGGTGATGTTATGTGTGTTTGTAGCTGATCCACTTCCTCCAGTAATGGTGCCTGTACAGGTGAAAGCACCACTGTCGTCCATAGAAAGAGGGCTGATTGTTAGATTTCCTTCATAGGTATTTTCAGACGCTCTCAATGTATCGTTAATTGAGACCCGACCTCCTTGTTTACCAATCCATTCAATAGTCACACTCTCATTATTGTTCACACTGCTGTCAATTGTCACTGCACACGAGAGTGATAGGGAAGTCCCAACATAGAGAGGTTCAGATCTCAGAGACACTTGTACATCAGGTGGAGGGACTGCAGGGAAAAACAAACACTTTGTAAAAAAATCTCTCTCTTTCATACAGTATCAAGTATTAAGTATTTTGCCAGTGAGAGCTTACTTGCCACAGTCACATTAGCAGTGGCTTCGTCTGGTGCCTGGAAAATTACGTATTGTCTGTCAGATGTGATATTCAGTGTGCAGGTATAGGTTCCACTGTCAGAGGTTGTGACATGAGAAAGTATGAGATTAACTCCATCAAGTGTGACTCGATTACTGTCGCCAGGTTCGACTGCTGAACCATTAAAAGTCCATGTAGCAGACACTTGAACGAGAGGGTAACTCAGATAATAGGAGCATGTGAGATTACCGACAGTTCCAGCGATTGATGGTACAGGTATAGTGACTAAGAGAAAACGTATCACTGAAGAACACTTTGGTTGATAAAGTTTGTTGCTTACCGACTACTGTGATGTTGGTGTTAGTGGAGATTGACCCACCAAGTGACACACTACATGTGTACAATCCAGCGTGTGACTCATCTACATCATACAGAGTTGTTATACTTCTGCAGGGGTCCTCGTCACACTCAAAGAGTGCGGGATCAAAATTATCAGCTGGTCCTTCCCAGTCATACACTGGAGTGCCTGCTACGTCTTTAGGAAGAGAGACAGAGCAGGTGAGGGTGACGTTGTGTCCTACCTCGACCAAGTATGAGGGAGTGGCATACAGGGAAATGCTGGCTTGTTCTGTGGAGGAACTTGCATGAAATGTTCAGTCATGTAAACATCAGTGTGCAACTGACCAATAGTGATGTGTTTAAGTGTTGGGTCGCTTGGAAGTGTACTAGAGGTAGCCACTATCTCGATGGAATAGTTAGTCCCTGGATTTAGTCCTGTAATATTAGCCGCAGATTCACTTCCCTCAGCAGTTACTGAGCCATTCTGTTCCCCATTCTGTTCCTGGTAATATACAACATATCCAGTTACTGCTGGCACTCCAGATGTCCAGGATACTAGTACACTTCTCAGTCCATTTTGACTGAGTTTCACATCAGAAGGTGGGGACGGAGCTACAATTTTTTGAGTATAATTATACAAAACATATTGTTCATAATGGACGCTAAAACCTTACCAGTTACATTCAGCCGAGCCGAATCATTAGAGATTTCATTAGCCACAGAGCATGCGTAGAGTCCTTCCAGCTTTCCAGTTACAGTGAGTGTGTGGGTGTACTGTGCTGTTGTTGCATCATTCAACACAGTTTCAGTTCCTTTACTCAGAGTCTCAGAATCTCTTGACCAGGTCACAGAGGTAGCAGGTCCCCCAGTAGACGTACAACAGAGTCTGAACTGAGGAGTAGCTTCATTGGGGTTTGAATCTAGAACGAAAGTCACATTTCCATATATCTGGATTAGACCTACAAGGGAAGAGATGCAGCTTTCACTTGTTATGATTTTATTGTGGAAAATAATTTTACCTTCGTCAATGGGGTATATACCTACGTACACTTTACGAGATGCATTTCCATTGCATACTGTGCAATGATATATCCCCTCCATTGCAATAGCAGTGGTTCTTGTCAAGCTAACAACCGTGTTACTTGTGGTACTTTGTTCAGCACTATCAGTAGTAATTCTGCTACTATTTGGTGTGAACCAGTCCAGTTCACAGTTAGCATCAAGATGTCCATCATAGTGACAAAGTAGAGATGTGCTGTAGTTGGAGCCACTATTGTTTACCACGACAAGACCATGATTTTGAATGATGTCACCATTCAGGCTTATATACACATCTGAAACAATATCAAGCACTGGTATTTTAAGCAAAGTCAAACAAAAAGAAACATACCATTGGGCGTTTGAAAACTCTTAGGGTTGCTGTACACTCCAGTACCGGCAGCGTTTTGAGCTGCTATTTCGACAGTGTAGACTGTTTCTTTGGTCAGTCCAGATATTGTTGCCATTCCTCCACTGGAGTCTCCCGACACCATCCCATTATTCCACCCACTGCCTTCACTATCATGTTTACTACTGTCCACCTCCCTATACCTCACTGAATAGTGAGTTATATTTCCATTCTCGTGGACACAATCTATTGGCCCCCACTGGACAGTGACAGTGGTAGAATTCTCTACCAACACGTCCACATACAAAGGAGCTGCAGATGGAACTGGACAAGAAATTAACACTTAGCCAGTCGCAGACACATATTATGTGTCAAAAGCTTCCGTAAGTTCATAAGAAATTACATTGTTGGAAATACTTTGAAATGATTTTCTGCTTATTTAAGAAGATACCCATGGAGTCAAAAGGACTTATACATACGACCAAAAGAGGTTATAATACTCACCAGCAGGCATTGTAGTGGCAATAATTCTGTCTTCTTCATTGTCTTGCAGTCCACAGAGAGTAGTCATCACAGTGACGGAGTAGGTTGACCCCTCTTCGAGACCGGTAAGAGTGAACATTTGCTCACCACCGTCAACATCATACACGGCACCAGTGTCGTTATGGAAGCAATCAGTGTCTGTATTATAGTAGGAGATGGTGTAAGTGGCCGCAGTCACCCCCTCTACCAGTTCCCATTCGATGGTTAGAGTCTTCGCCGACAATGAGGTGGTATTGGTGACTGACAGGACACCTGTAATCAGTTTATTGTCATTATTTTACAGAACTCAATATTTGTATAGAACTGACCATCAGTCACCACAAAAAGTGGCTCGCTCTGTTTTCCAATGCCAGCACTGTTGACTGCAGCCACAGTGATGGAATAGTTTGGTTGAAGGCCTCAGTCCAGTGAGTGTGGCATTGCGTTCAGGGACTGATACACTTACTGTGTCATTATCACCCTTTTCTATTACAGGCACACTGCATTCAATACCCTGACCACTCTTTAAGCCACTCCCATTGCCATGCCCGCTACCACACCCACTGTCACTCCAACAGCCACGCCCATTGTCACTCCCACTAATGTTCCCACTGGAACTATCACTCATTTTCGAAATACTTATGGTGTAGCCCGTGATTACACCATTTTGATCAGGACAAGGGACTGCCCCCCACAGGACAGTCACTGTAAAGGTGGCCACATCAGTCACATTAACAGGCAAAGGAGGTGAAGCTGGAGCTGTATAATTATTAAATTATAGCATTTTTAAACACTCAATGAAACCTCACGTTTTTCCTCTGTGACTACAGTCACTCTATGACTGGGTGATGTGCCGGCTGAATTAATAGCATTGACTGTGATATTGTAGCTAGTTCCAGCTCTAAGGTGTGGTATGGTATAAGTTGTGGATGTGTTTGAAGCAATATCACTGCTTTCATCCAATTTTAAAGGACATTGGTCTGAGGACCATTTCACTTCGAAACATGTTACTACTGATCCACTTGGAACACTCCAGGTGAGAAAAACAGAGGTATTGGCCCCATTCGTGACCATGGATACATTGGGCCTGCCTGGAACTATACAAAAAGATAAAAAGAGTATCTATTATTAAGATTGCTTTACCTAAGCCCATTTCAGTAGTGACATTGTCGCTTGGAAAATGGTTTGATGTTGCTACAATGGACAGATTGTAGTTCTGCCCGTTCTGGAGACCAGTCAGTGTGTAAGTGCTGGCTGAACCATTGGTGATATTGATGGTGTCACTGTGACCTCCACTGCTCTCATAGTAGATTAGGTACCCAGTGGCACCAGGGACTGGTTTCCAAGACACTTTAGTACTGTTGATACTCCCCTGAGTTGCTAATACCTCAGTGGGGGGTGAAGCAACTACGGAAGGATTGTTTTTACTAAACTACAATGAAAACACTAATGTGCAACCCTCGGCGAACTGCACATGCGCGGCCATAACCGCTAAATTGATGGGCTGTATTAGTGTGCGTTTACTCGTGGTCTCCCGCTAGTAGCTCGCAGAGAGTCTGACACGGGCTAGCTACAGTAATAGATAGCATGCGAGAGTCGATACACGGCATTCGTTGTGACTTCTTGTGCCTTCAAGATACACAGAGCAAGCGGGCCCGGTCGAGGTATAATAAGCCTGTGCTAAATATAAGCGCATGCGCATTTTCCGGAGCGATAAAATGGCGTCTACCGGCATTAGCCGTACAACGCTGGATGCGCTCCAGCTTTGCAACGGAGCATTTTCAGAGAAAACCGTTCGAAGCTTCTAACCTTCATTTGCCCGTTAAGTAGGTCGTGTCGTTTGTGAGACACACACACACACAGACAGACCCAACTAGTAACTCTCGCTGTGCATGCGCGCCGAGGGTTAATTATAGGTATATACCTTCCACAGTGAAGCTAGCAGAAGCTGTGGATGGCTTGTTATTAGCCACAGTACAATTGTAGAGTCCAGGCAGTCTCCCAGTCACAGTCAGAGTGTGGGTGTACTGTGCAGTCTCTGGGTCCGCATTCAACACAGTCTCAGTTCCTTGGGTGACAGTGGTGGAGTCTCTGGTCCATGTGACAGTGGTAGCAGGTCCACCAGTGGAGATACAGGTGAGGGTCAGCTGGTCAGAGTCAAATGTCACTCCTCCAGATATTGAAACATCTCCTGAAATTGTAGCAAATCTCTCGAAGTGTCAGTATACTTGTACAAATATATACGGTTTTAGCTTACCTCCACTGGCAGTATACACTCCCACATAGACTGGTGTGTCTCTCACCGAGATGTCAGTATCATCATGGACAGCATTAGTTGGAATATCACAGCGATAGATACCAGTTGGTGAGTTAGCATTGTTCCTACGGCGTAGGTCAACTCTCTGAGCATCACGGACCTCATAGATATCACCATCATGATTAGAGAAACCCAGTCTAGTTCCATTAGGGGAAATACCAGTCTCCACGATGAGGACCGTGACCCCTAGTACAACATGTGGCCAGGTCAGTGATACACTGAACACTGTCACTGCCACTGCCATCACTCCCCACTTGACTGAGGTCCACATAGGAATGGTTGGCCAGAGTCTGGCCCATGAAGGAGACATAAGGAAATGTCTGAGAGTTGACTACAGACACTACAAGAGCTAAGGCAATAACTATCACAGACTTCATCATTGCTATCTGACCTGCAGAATTGAAAATTGCTTCAGCACAACACGTATGATTTTTACATAATCAGAACAAATTGCACTCACAATACCCACAAAGCACTGAAGTGCAAACCCTAGGCGCACTGCGCATGTGCAGTACCTCTAACTAATTGATGGGCTGGGTTATCACTATGCTCCACGCAAGTAGCTCGCGGAGAGTCTGACACGGGCAAGCTACACTATAAGATAGCATGCGGGAGTCGATACACGCCCTTTGTTGGGACTTCTTATGCCGGCAAGGTACACAGAGTAAGCGGATCAGGTCGAAGTATATGGAACGCCAAACCCGACAAAAAACGTAAACGTTTACAGAAACGTTGCAACGAACGTTTGCGAAAACATTTACACAAACGCTTCCCAGAGCTTGCGTAAAACAGGATGATGTTACGTCGGGGTTTTGTCGGGTTTGCCGTTCCAAGTAGCTAAGCCCAGTTCGATTACGCATGCGCATAGCTATTCACGGCCGAACGCAGTCGTTTCAGGAAAATTCAGGTTCGTTCTGAAGCCGTTGGTGTCGCTAATTGGCCGCATCGTAGCCCGTAGTGTGAAAATAAGACAGACTGACAAACCAAGTATCTACTACTGTAACCCTCGCTGCGCATGCGCGCCGAGGGTTAATAATCTCACTGTTGCACAGAGAACAAATAACCAATGAAGTCTTCTATATCCGTTTCATTATTACGGTATTTTTCTCCAAAAGAAGACAGAGAAATTTCAAACAAGTGGCAAGTACTTACATAAAAATACCCCTAGCTATAGAACCATTGTGTACCCCACTTCTCATGGATTTCTACTATCTGAGAAGATTATTTACAATAATTTAGGCATATTTTTGGCTGGTGTATGTAAGTGTTAACAACAATAGCTTTTGATGGCTTTTTATTGGAATTGGTGAGGGGTGGTTATTATTTGTGCACAGAAACAACAAAAACAGGGCCCTGGCATAGCTGTCAACATCAACAGAAGTAGTTTGTTTTCTCCCACTGCCATTCCACACAAGATGGGATAAACACACCGCAGAAAGCTAGTTGATGCATGTTCATGGACTCTTGTACATATATGGGCATCTTCATAATGAGGGAAGAATCTTAGAAAAGGCAGCATAGCCAGTACAGCTTGAGCTCCAATCACAACTGACATGCACTACTGGGAGCATTGCAGCAATCGTTTGAGGAATAGTATAGCTACTATAGGCAGCCAATGGCAGAGACTTTTACAAACAGATACCATTCATTCACCATTTGTAGCCCCTGATGATCAAAGTTCGTACGTGTGCAACCTTGCGCATGCGTCGATGTAGCACGCATGTGCTGCGGTACAAAGGTCAATGCATATTATACCACGTGTTGCGTGGCCCCCTCGGAAGCCCCCTCGGAAGCTGTAACAAATGTCGTGGGTGTGGGGTCGGCTTGGTCTCAGCGGGCAAAGTCCGGACTCACTGTCTCCCTCACCTCCTCCCCCGTCCCAACAGGTTAGCCCACACCACGGATCCCTTTCCTCTTGATGCGAACATAAACAAGTTTGTAGAGATGACCTGATGTAAATGCATATCTGGATGGGACCTTCCTGTGCCCGTTGACGTTTTCCCTTATAGGCACATGATAAGATGCACCTGAAATGTCTTGTTTAGATGTACCGCCAGTTGTAAATAAACATTTTACCCCTGCAAGATTGTGTAATACTCGCACAAACTAATGCTAGGCTGGAGGAGCAGCAGGAGGAGGAGGAGGGAATGAAGGGGAGGAGGAGGTGGTGGGGGTGGGGAGAAGGAGGTGGGCAAGAAATGGGTGGGGTTTGATCCCACTGGACTGGAGAGGGCAGCAAAAGCTGCGAGAGAGCTTGACCAATCAGGTCAGTTAAGAGCAGTATATACTACTACTATATACTACTAGAACCCCTCTAATCTGCACACTAATAGGACAGAATAAAGTGTCCACAATTGTAAAGTGTCCTTATTTCAGCATGGGAAAACGTTGGAGATGCCTCATTTGAGAAGTGTCTTGGAAGAGGGGTTCTACACTGTATGTATGCTTGAATAACCCCACAAGACGTGATGTGTGTGTGCAGCTCATGCCAGAGAGGCTCTGGAGATGTCCAAGATGCAAGAGACGACGCAGCAGATGCAGCATCAGGAGGAAATTGCCGTGAGCTCAGATTCATTTGACTATGTACAGTACCTAAAATTTTCCTTACCCATTCACTTCCTCCCAAATGCTTAGTGTTCCTATGATCTCAGGGTGAGTCGAGCCCTTATATAAGCTCGTAATTTTCATTATCTACACACAAAATTGTCATATTCACATAATGCGCTAACCCTTGCTCCTTCCCTGTCAAATTTCAGGAAACATGTAACTACGTTGAACGAATGTAACACATTTTTGGTGAACGAAGCAAACAGTTCGTCACGCGTATTTAGAATCATGTAGGACATTACAGTATGTGCAATGCCCATGCCCATCACATAAAATCCTGCATTCAGATGGTTAGGTAATTTAGACCCCCCAACTGCAATCCTCTTTTCCCTCCTTTGTATTTGTATTCTCCTCTCTCTCCAGAAACACCAGGCCTACGTGAAGCAGTTTGAGGTGGAGAAAGTGAGAACCGATCACGAGGAGCGGCGCAAGACGATGGGTGCAGAGGTCAAGCAGCACCAGGAGAGGGCAAAGTTCGAGGACCAACTGGCAAGAAGGCGGTACGACGACCAACTTGCACAGCAGGTTAATTTCTCTCAACCTCCCACCTTCCTCTTCCTCTCCCTCTCACTCTCCTTCTCTTTCTCCATCTTCTCTTCCTCTTCCTTCACTCTATCCATATTTCTCCACACTCTCTGGGGTCTTGTGTGTTATATTGGGGTACATTGATTTACAAACCCAAGTCTCTCAGTGTATGAATAGTGCATTGCTACTGGAACACTTTTGCGCAAACATAGCGGCAAAACCATTATGACATTGCTACTTGAACGAATAGATACAAGTAAATCTGTTGTGCATAAGCTGAAAACTTCTACATGATGTTCCCACATGTGCATTACCGAATTGTGACAGCATTAGAAAGAGTAAGTGATAATCAGGGCATTCAGATGACTAGGTAGGCTTGCTTTGCAAACTCACCAGTTCAACTACACTTTGTCTGCCATTCATACACACAATAATGTATGTATACGTGAATGCCCTCCGCAGCGCCACATCCAAGAGGAGAACTTGCGTAAACAAGAAGAGTCTGTCAAGAAACAAGAGGCCATGAGGCGAGGTTAGTATCAAGTAAATAAAATGTGTGTTTCATCCAAATGTCCTGATCAAGTGTAGTTGAGCTTTGCAAACCAGTAAGTAGTTCTCTTTATAGAGATGGAGTCACAATTGTTTTACCCAACCTTGGACACTATTAATATGTATGTCCCTTGCTAAATACACTCTACGTAGACAAGTGTACTGTATGGCATTTTTGTATATTGTGACATACTCTAAGTATGTACAGTTCCTATATGTAAGTATGTCCTGCCCTGTTGTCCACAGCCACCATAGAGTATGAGAGTGAACTGAGACACAAGAACGAGATGGCCAGAGTCCAGGCAGAGATCAGTGGCAAGTTAGTCTTCTCTCTGGTTATAATAATGTGTACTGTGTAATGGAAACTTCCATGGGAGCAAACTTTCACACTTTGTTCATTAACACACATTTTTGCTGAGTTTTGCTGGTCGCTACAGCCCTCCATATTGTAAATCCAACTATCACTCTATTATACACCCTGAATCTACTGTACATCAGGGCTTAACAACAAAACGAAAGGAATTGGGGCAAGAATGCGAATTAGATTTAAGGGAATGTGGCTGCCACGTTCTCCTCATAACATTTTCTAAATTTGGCCCTTAATCGTCATATATACTTCCTCCAACCTGTCTGCTACATACTACGATTGCTGTACACGTGTTGCAGGACTCGTATGGAGAGAGAGAACCAGGACCTGGCTCTGGAGCAGATCAGAGTGAAGGCTGCAGAGTACAGGACCACCGTCCTGGAGAGCATCAGGTCTCCTCCCCCTTCTCTCCATGTCACTCTACCTTCTACCCTTAGACCTACTCTTCTTTCTCTATCTATATACTACCAGCACCCTCCCCTTATCGTAGTCCATTTCATACATCTCAAGTGTTGCCAACAAAAAAAAACAGAAGAATGTAGCTTTATGTCATTATTGCAACATAGCAATTCTATATGGCAAAGAGATCAAGGCAAATGAAAGTCAAAGAGCACAACTACATGTAGGATAATCAAAGGAAAAATAGCTGACCTGGGTGGATTCGAACCCACGACTAAGCGAACAGTGTGCCAGCTGAGCTACCCCATTCTTTTCTATGCCACCATTAGAAATGTTCATTACTTCTACTTCCCCTCCTCTCTCTCTTCTTGCCCCCCTCCCTCTTCCTCCCTCTTCCTCCCTCTTCCTCCCTCCATCTACTAACAGGGCAGCAGGATCTCTCATTGGTCAGGGGGTGTCCAATTTCATCACTGATTGGGACAAAGTCTCAGCCACTGTCAGTCATCACCTACACTACTAGACAAATGCCACACATTTTTGGCGGGCGAGCGAGCCCGAGCAATTCATTATTTCGTGTGTGTTTTACACGTATTACTGTACATCTGGAGTGCCCATGCATAGCCCGTCACATACAATAATAAATAAATAAATTTTCCCGCATTGAAGCGACTAGGTAGGCTCGCTTTGCTCGCCAATTACTGCATTGCCCAATGCACAATTTACTGCAGTTGTAACGAAAGAAAACTTCGACAAAATGCCTGGTCCCCAACGTGTCCATTATTCAGAACTTTCCCATTTATAGTATCTCTCATCTCACAGGCTGCGGGGATCACTCTGATAGCTGTTGGTGTGTACGCAGCCAAGATGGGGACAGGAGTTGCTGCTCGTTACGTGGAGGCCAGATTGGGGAAACCCTCGCTAATTAGGGAGACATCTCGCCTCTCTTTCTTCCAGGGGTTGAGACGTCCTGTCAAGGTCAATAATTGTGTGTGGAAGGGTGTGGTGTATTTGTATGCCTTTTTTGCCGTATAACCGAAACTTGCGACAACAATGTTCGTGAGCATACTTTTTGTGAAAAGACAGGATTTGCTGGTGTATATATGTACAAGAAATCATATTTGCTTAGCAAATTCATTACATTTGTGACATTTACGGAGGTGTTTACTTCTTCCCTCTCTCCACATTCACTCAGGCTGTAAGGAGAGTGTTCAGTAGACCTTCGGACCCTCTGGCTGGCATTGTTTTCCAGGTATGGGGCGTTGATACTAGGGTAATGAAAAGCACTAAAGTGCAAACCCTCGGCGAACTGCGCATGCGTGATAGTGCTAAATTGACGGACTGGGCCGGCTATTTGCGTTTACTCGTGGTCTTCCGCTAGTAGCCCGCGGAGAGGCAGACACGGGCTAGCTACAGTAGTAGATAGCATGACATGCCATTGGTTGTGACTTCCCGAGCCCCCAAGGTACACAGAGCGAGCGGATCAGATCGCGGTAAGCCCAGTGCGATTATGCATATTGGCTTTTTCGCTTGTTTTCACGGCATATCTCTCGAACGCAGTCGTTTCAGGAAAATCGCCTAATAATTTATTTTTCCGGTTCGGGTAGTTCTGAAGCCGCTGGTATCGCTAATAGGCCACCTCGTAGCCTGTAGTGCCAGAATAAGCGTCGACACACAGACAGACAGACAGACAGACAACCCAACTACCGTAACCCTCGCTGCGCATGCGCGCCGAGGGTTAATCATTCCCCTCCACCTCTTGCTATTTCCAACTTGCATACTAAGAATCTTATTCTCACTTAAAATTCTTCCATTGTTAATCTCTTCCACCCCCCCAACACACACACACACCCAACCAGCCAGTGTTTGAAGACAAGCTGAGAGCCCTGGCCAGAGCCACTATAAACACACGTACCAATGGAGGAGTGTATCGCAACGTCCTCATGTATGGTCCTCCTGGTACCGGGAAGACCATGTTTGCCAAGGTGAACTAAATTAGTACTCAGATGATGTGCTATACACTGACCCAATGAATCATGAGTTAGTGTGTGTAGAAAAAGAGCTCCCCTATCAAAGTTTGAGACAGTATATTATACTCAAACCACTGAGTTACCATGGCAGCTCAACCACCTGGGCTAAGAGTTTCCAATGCAACACAACACAGAAACCCCGGCCTATGTGATATGACACAATTTAGTATGTAGGAAGAGACACGACCACCAATAATGAATCAGGGGGTGTCAGTGAAAGGCAAGAGCAAACGTTAGTACCAATTTCACTGTTTGTAAGCTGTTTTGGAGGCAGGGACATTTTGTATTATTGGATTATGCAATCCATGAAAATTTTCCCCACGAAATTCATGTTTGCTACTAATATTTTTATCCCTTGAAGTGTTTTTCAATGTTTGTGCGTCACCAAACAATTCAACCGTACATAGCAACTTTTCATCTTTGCATGCGCGTCCATCCCGATCCACGGAGGGAGGGAAGTGAATTTAGACATTCGGCACCCTTTTCTTCCAATTTCCCCGGCAGAGTCTGGCCCACCACTCGGGGATGGACTATGCCATTCTGACTGGAGGCGACATAGTTCCTCTCGGGAAAGATGGGGTCACTGCCATGCACAAGGTCTTTGACTGGGCCTCGGCTAGCAGGAAGGGGTGAGTGGGATGGTTGAAGGAGAGAGAGTCTCGAGATAGAGATGGGAAGTCCGTAGTGACGATGCACAAGGTCTTTGACTGGGCCTCGGCTAGCAGGAAGGGGTGAGTGGGATGGTTGAAGGAGAGAGAGAGTCTCAAGATAGAGAAGGGAAGTCCGTAGTGACGATGACTCAAGTTTCTGTTTGTCTCACTGCACATGAAAGAACCCACAAGGCCACTCACTACATATGAACCAGTGAAACAAAGCACTTTTGCAAATTTGGTGAATCGCACGTACTGAATATTGGAACACATCACTACCACTACAGTGATTGACGTGCAATGATTGACGCTTGCCTTTTTTTTTACCATATGAAGTTTTTTCGTTTTGTTCCCTCAGAGTGGTACTGTTTGTGGATGAAGCTGATGCGTTCCTCAGGAAAAGAAGCAAGGCATGTGTACTTCACTGTGATGTTGCGCACATGGAAATGGGTTGGCCGTGATTTCGACACATATTTTCTTTGCTGCAAAATTGGCTAGGATACAGAACATAATATTATCATTATCGACCTTTTTCAGCATGCATATTCACATAGTTACTGTGGTGTGACATTCTGTAGGTGGCTATTAGTGAAGATTTGAGAAGCACTCTCAATGCATTTCTCTATCGCACCGGAGAGGCCTCCAGAAGGTTAGAGGTTTGCCTCTTTCTCTCTCTCTCTCTCTTTCTCTCTCTCTCTCTCTCTCTCTCTCTGCTTTCTCTGGCCACACATCACCTTTGGTTGTCCCATCGTACCCCATACCTGCATGCAGAGAGGAAGGACGGTTTGTTGGCCTGTTCTTCTCCTCAAGTTTAAGCCACCACTTCTGGAGATTATTTGCTCTGTACTCTCTAGCAATCGCAAAGTATCGGGGACCATTCGTTGGCCTGTCCTTCCCCTCACTTTCTTGCTAAAAGTACGAAAAGGTTTAGGCCATCCTCTTTTCCACAGTCATTCCTGTGACGAATTACTTCCCACACAGGTTCATGTTGGTCCTGGCTAGTAACCAGCCAGACCAGTTTGACTGGGCAGTCAACGACAGACTGGATGACCTAGTGAGGTTCTCCAAGCCCGGCCAGCCCGAGAGACTCCGCATGTTGAAACTCTACTTCAGTCTCTACATACTGGACCCTCCCAGAGTGGCCTGGTGGAAAAGACCAAGGTATGGTGGGAGGGGAGGAGGCAGAGGGGGAATAGTGCTACGTTTCAATGTTTGAATCTTCCATTAAAACCAGAGGTTCAATTATGTATTATTATTATGGCCAAACACTAATTGCATTCCTTCTGCATAATGAGGTTTTAGGAATGTTAGTAGGAGTTAAACCTCGCCAGACAAACAGTCATATATTTTACCATAAATTTGATTGGTGTTAAAAAAATTTTCCCCTCAAACTTTTTACGGTATGGTTTGGGTGATTCCTTGTCATTATTACGTATGTCCAGGCACATCCCGCTACCTCCTGATGTGGACTGGGAGGAGAAACTGACAGAGATATCCAGGAGAATTGAAGGATTCTCCGGGAGAGAAATATCCAAACTGGTGATCGCCTGGCAGGTTTGTGAATAGGCTCTGCTGTCTCTGGCCACATTATTTTAGAGAGCTGGATAACTCTACGAGAAAAATGGCACACATTTTTGGCAAGCATGAGCAGTTGTAATGAAGTTTTTTTGGCGTATTTGGAATTACGTAGAACATTATATAGCGGTATGCACAGTGTATACAGACAGCTATATAGGTAGGCTCGTTTGGCCCGCCACTGTTCCCCTTAGATGCATTCGTACTATAATACTACTACGCAAAGGACTGGTTAAGGCACCCACTTCAGCTTCCGTAATGATGTTAGGCCAAAAATATTCTGCATTTCCATGATTATTGGTCCCACGTGCATGGTCTGCTGCCGCCTGAGTATTATTTTTGACGAGTGGTTAGAGTATTGCGTAAAAAAAATTTGATTCATAGTGCGACAATGCATAGAAATTTGTGCAATTGTGGTGACTCATCACACACAGGCCGATGCGTATGGTTCTACGGAGGGACGACTGGACGAGACTATGATGGACAGATGTGTGGGAGAAATGTTGGAGCAACACTCTCAGAAACAGGTCTGGGACAAGGGAACGTTAGACCAATCTTAGAGTTGTAAATATCATATATCACTCACTCAAAGAAAATTATACAGGTATTGTTTGTCTCAGTATTATGGGAGTGTTAATTTATACAGTGCATAATTATTTGACAAGCGCTGAAAGAATTTGCGAGTATATAACATTGGCATAGATATGTGATTCCACATGCTCCATTGTTTGATGGATTCATTTTATATTTGGGGTTGTGTTTGCACCAATAACCCATAACCTGGCAATAGTGTCTTACACTACTGTGCAAATAATTTCACATTGCACCCTAGAGTTTTGGATTGACATTTCTCCGCGAGTTGCAGGTTCATTGACACCATCTGTGCAACGTCGGTGGCACACCCCCAGCTGAAGGTAAAGCCATGCCCACCGTGGCCGTAATTGTGAATCAACAGGGATTCACCCCCAATTTCCTCGTCAATTTCAACTCTGACAGTGGGTCTCACTGGTCTTAGTCCGGCCCATGCTCTCACGATTTTACTTCCCTTTAGTTGAGGGCACAGCCCCATGCATCTGCTGTATATAGAGTCTGTGTCTTGCGGTTTCACTGCCGTAGACCAGTCATTTGTGTCGCTTGTCCCTCCGAGTAGAACCCTGTCATTCGAGGGGATAATGTAAGTTGTGGCTTTCTTCCCTGGCTCCGCGGTAAAGTATGCTGCACTGACACCAGTTGCTTGTACCTCGACTAGCTGTCCTCTCACTGGGAATACGCTTCGGTCCCCAACCAATTCACGGGCTCCGATCCCAGTGCAGTTTATCACCACGTCGTAGTCTCCAGTCAGCTCTTTCAAGTGTCTCACTCTCTTCTGTATCATGGTGCCTCCGCTCTCCCTGAAGCGGCGGGCGAGGTAGTGCAAGTACTGGGACGTCTCGATGCGGTAGCATTCGTACTCCCACGCCGATCCGAATTGAGCTACGGGTAAACCCCGCTCCTCCGTCTCTGCGGGTGAGAGGACCCTAAATTCCGGATGAAGGGCCGGGGCGTACCACGGAAGAGGGGGATGGCTCTCTCTGTGTGCGTGGAAGAAAGGCATCTTTGTCACTCCGCACTCGGGCCCAGTGTTACTTACAGTGCAGCTGGTGAAGACGGTCGTAAGTGGCTGCAGTCCAGAGGCGGGTGCCGCGTCATTACGGCACCGCGTAGGACGAGGGGCCCGTGGGTCGGATGAGACCGCCAGCAGCGTCGCGGCCAGCCCATCGCAGGGCGCTGAATTGTCGGACAAGATGGACGAGGTCGAGATCACTGGTTCGTGCGTATCGGCCAGACACAGCCCCACGGAAAGCCCCGATACACCGGCGCCGATGATTGCCACTCGTGCCATATCTCTGCTGAACCTTCTTCGAGTCTGTCTGCATGGAAGAGCTCTGTCTGCAGGTCTGGAAGAGAGACTGTGTGCTACTATACTAGCTAGCTCAGCAGAACACGCGTTTGTGCGCATGCGCTCATTTGGTGTGTGTGGGCGGGGCTCGGGGCGGGTGCATGATGGCAGCGACAGAAAAACGCTACGAAAACCGTGAGCACGAGAGAGGAGCAGTGACTGCGTCCGTCCCTGAAGATTTCACTGATCTCTCCACCGTTCACCACTCCCTCGGCTCCCTCTCAGTGCAGGTAAACGCACTACGCCTTGAAGTTTATTGATCCAAAGCTAGACGAACCTGGGGATCTATCTGTCTATTTTAGAGTAATTTGCCATAGCTATGAACAATCATGCAACATGCTGCAGATACTTATGCTTTTCCGTGACTCAATCAACGGGAGCATGTATATATATCATAGTGACTGAGGCAAGGAGAGCATTATAGGTGAATGTCGAATTTTTGTGTGTAAGCAGCGTGGTGGAAGAATGTTCAGACAGCGCACTTTAATTCTTGTACATACAGCACGTAGTAACTAGTGTGCGTCACGTGCACACAACATGGTCACTCTCTATAATGGTGTGGCGGTATATAGGAGGGAGGAGAGAGTGGAGTTGACTGGATTTCCCACCAGCTGAGTCAGGAGCAGGTGGATCAGTTCTGGAGAGATGGCTACCTCTCAAATATCCCAGTCCTCGCACAGCAACAAGTGCAGCTCCTCCTCAAGGACTACAAAACCTTCCTAGTGAGACTCGTCTGTATCATTAGAGGGGCCAACCTAGTTTAATGAAAATGCTTTGATTCGATACTAAAGGATGTACTGTTGATAAAGGGGTGAAGAGCTTTGCCTTGCAGTTGATTGAATGTTGTTGTTGGGAATTGAAGATTTTGTGTTAGCTCCACCTTGCCGAATTTTCTGAGTAACGTGTGATCTCTAGCCAAAAGAGCTCCTATTTTTGGCAGTGTACACTGTATGTGCATAAAGGAAGCTCGTTGAATTTCATGGTAGTAAGGGGGAGGGGTCTGAGTGCTTGTTGTAATGCTTCCTATATGTCTTGTGCAATTATCTGCATACTGCGCAGGACCCACACTACTGCGAAGGTCAGTTTGTGTCACTGAGGTTGGGCGGAGGCGCGCGCTGTGTCTACGAGTTCACACAGCATTCAGCACGCGTTTGAGACTGAGTGGCAGTCAGCTACAATGGCTACACAGAGTCGTCACACACTTCACCGCACTTTGGGCCAGTGGAGAAAGATTGAGCAGAGCTTCTCCAATCCCGACCTCTGCTTCCCTACCATCAGATGGTAGTCAGTGGAAACATAGGCCTGACACACCTCAAGCATAGGGAGGAAATTCCTTTTTAAACTTTAACTGGGGAAGTATAATACATTGGCGGTGTAAGAGTGTTAGGCAGTTTCACACAAGTTTAGAACAACTCACGCTTTGACATGGAAAAACGAGAGAGATCGAGAGAAAAGGGATGGGTTCCAAAGTGCTTCACAACATACATAAAACAACACACACTCATGTCAGTGGAGTTTTTGAGGAAAGTATAGGGGAAAATCTGAGCATGTGTATACCTTCAAAACATATATATTATAATGTCAGTATTCTTACTGTATGTGTGTCAGTATTCCTACTGTACGTGTGTCAGTATTCTTACTGTATGTGTGTCAGTATTCTTACTGTACGTGTGTCAGTATTCTTACTGTATGTGTGTCAGTATTCTTACTGTACGTGTGTCAGTATTCTTACTGTACGTGTGTCAGTATTCTTACTGTATGTGTGTCAGTATTCTTCCTCTACCAGTGTCCGGCAGCTCAACTGGTGGATCCGTCTCGAAAGCCGTGTCGTCTGAGACTGTGGCACGACCAGCTGTTTGCCAAACCTCCACATCATGGCGGAGTCGTTGCATGGTATGTATTATAGCACTTGTACTTTAAAAGGTATTAAAGTGGAAATGATGTGCAAATGACAAGTGGATTGCTTGTTCGTTCTATATATAAAATAAAGGTTTTGTGTGAGAAATAATTATTTTCCTGCAATCATCAATCTCAGTTTGCCTTGGCTGTACCTTGTCTTTCATCTATGAAGCAGTTTAAAGGCACCCACTTTCACTGCAGGCATCAAGACTACTCCTATTGGACCAGGACCAAGCCCATGATGCACGTGACTGTAAGATCCGTGAATAATGTTCTTGTAGCAAAGAAGCAAGGTTTATTATAATACTGTTTGCGCTAAACAAAATCCCTGCAATTGTCAGTATTATACACTTTCTTGTTGCTGACCTGATGGTTTTGGTCGAGTGTTAATGGTTCCCTCACAGGTGCACATAGCTCTGGATGACCAGACAGGAGCCAGAGGAGGTCTACAGTTTGTTCCTGGATCTCACAGGTAGCTAGGTCTCTCAATAATGTTATTGTGTGCAGGGTTAGCTATGTTGAGCTGATCAAACGTTCAAAATATTATGGATTGATACGATGGGCCCAAAGTAAGTTGCAGAAATAGATGGTTGTATCTACTGACATGCAACCGTGCTGAAGCAACCAAATAGCTCGTGTAGCTATAATGTTTGCCATAACACATCCTTGGCTGCTTGCCAGAATTATCACTCGATTCTTATATTCCCAATTCAGGGGTTGGTAAAGAGTTGTAGAACAAATCGATAGTGGCGACCATAGCACTAGGCTAGGGCCATGCAAGCGAGAAGAAATTGTTGAAAACATTGACAGTAGCTGTTGTCATCTAGGTATAAAAAATAACGCCGTTTAGAAAACTATAAATATTCCTACAGGTGGCATCGAGAGGGTATGCCCCTGCCAATTACCGATGCGTCATTTGGAGACATTGACTCCATCAGTTTGGCACTGACAGAGGAGGAGAGAGCAAGTTTCTCACCAGTGGCTGGTAACCTGAGAGCTGGGGAGGCAAGTTTCCACCATCCCCTTACCATTCATCGGCTCTCTCGCCAACAAGTCAGTCTACTCTATAACTATTCGTCATCCCAAGGCTATTAGTATTGTACATGCCGAATTTATGGTGAAAGTGAGAAGTTCAAACATAATATTAATTGCATGTGGAGGAAGAGAGAGCCTTTATAATCAAAGTCTATGGGAAAGATACTTTTAACAGGCTGATCATTCTTATCTTTGCCTGACAAAATGACGACAAAGTGTTTTGTATTTTCACCATAGTTCCTATGTTATTATTAGCAATCCGTGGTCACTTCATAGTCTTGCTGGCCATGCTTCTTAGGGGAAAGAGTAATGTATATACACTGCTATAGCATAGTTTCCAGCAGTGAAGGTATTCCTATCCAGGTCAGAGTATCCCAGAAGAGCTACAGTAGTCAACTATATTGGAGACGGAGTTGTCTCTGACAGTGACCAGCCACTGCTGACTGGGGTACCGGCCATACCTCCTGGCCAGCGGATAGAGGGACAGTTCTTCCCACTGGTCTTTGACCCTCTCTGGACACTCTGAATCTTTTTGTTTTGTAGCTATGTCTCTGTGTCACAATTTTGTTGACTAAAGTTCCACTCGCCTTCACGGTACAGCGCCACTGATAGAGCTAACGGGTCACTTGCACGCGAATTCAGTAAGGTTGTCAATCCTACAGGTAGCTACATCATCATTTTCTGCGTTATCAAAACTGAGCAAGCAGGGAGCAGATAATCACTCCTTCGCACGGCAGACTGGCTGACAAGCGGCACTCTTGCGCATGCGCAGATTGAACGGTTCGGCTCCCCCGCCGCCCGTAGCGATTTTCATGCGTCACGGGTTACGCCATGAATATGCTAAGGCGGAATAACGTTCGATTCTTCCTATATTATAGAGGCGGCCCGATCAGGACTACCAACTAAATGGAAGTTCAGTCCCATATTGACGTGAGTGCATACAGTTAAACTTTCAAAGCGCGCGCCCTATTAGCTAAACCGAAGGTGGAACGCCCTCTTTCTTACGTGTATTTTTCGCTGCTGTTACACAATGTCTTCTTGGCTAGTATGCAGACCAGTTATGGATGTCACTGGAGCAAAACCACCCTTTCTTGAAGCGCGAGAACACAGGCATTCAGGAGAAGAGAAAACAACTGCAGAGAGGAAGTAATCACTCAGTGCCTTCGGTCGCCACAACTGTGGGAAAAGTACACTGCTGAACTTTATCACCAGGAACCTGTGAGTAGTTAACTACTTAGACTAATTACGTGCACCAGATCTCTACATTATTACACATACCATTAGGAGTTTTTTGATGTTGTTTTTATCCACATGTTTAGCTGCCTTCCAACTAGTGAAAACAACGAGACATGCATTGAGATCAAGATAAAACACGACAGAACAGTTCATCCTGGTATCTGCAAAGATCCATGCCGTGTGAGTACAAACACACCATGTTCCTTTAATCATTATCATGTCTTTTGAGTAGATACTACAGCAGTATCAGTATTTTATCATGCACTATGCATACCTTCAGGGAATGTCCACACCTTGTACAGAAAGTTGCAGACACAAAAATGCTCAGTGTGGCTATTGGGCAGAACGCTATCTCTAAAGCACTGCGTGGCAAATGTACAGTGGCATGACAAGGTTAGTATAACTTATAACATGTGCATTACTGCAATATCATACTCGTCTGACAGATTCTGCGCATATGAGCAGCAGCGGCTAGGACGTCCATATTTTCGACCTCTATGCCTACGTCCGCTCCTCGAAGAGCGGCACGCAGCAGGCTGGATCTTGCACTGGTGATACCCCGATTTGGAGAACCGAGGCAACAGTCGAACCCACATTATGAAGCACACAGATATGCTGTTCAGTGACCAGCACTGCCTACCTCTACCTGATGAGCAGCACCCAGCATGGAGGATCGTATTGATGGAGAAAGCAAAACATTGGGTTTCTAGTTTCAAACATGACAAAGGTATCTATAGACTTAGGTCTTTAGTTTGGGCGTTTTCTTTTCCTTTAGTGGGGGTGTCAATGCTAGTTTAAAAGCATATCAATATACCTAGGCCACGTTTTTGCTCAAGAAAAAAATAACTGCCCTGGGCTGGTGGTACTCGAACCACAACGCTTTGTTTCGGTAGACAAAGTGCCTCTATTTAAATAAACTACATAGAAGGTAGCTCCAACGGGCTAATTAAAAAAACACAAGGCAAAGGCAATTCCAAACTATGTGTTTTCACAGAACCCATCACTTCCATATGACTTTTACAAGGATTTTCCAGATGGCATACCTCATTGTGCCATAACAAGCATGATGTAAACGTTGCTTTCGCAAGAGATTCTTCGGCACAGCCGGAACCTAGATCGCAGAGCAGACACCCACAATCCTCTGTTGCTAACACATTCGGCACACTCCAGCAGTCAGCTCTCATTTCATAGCAAACCGTGGTTTCATCCACCGCCTCATTTGAAAAGCGTTCCAGTGAGTTGGCGCAGGGGCGAGATGGCTTTGTGGCTCCATGCAAAACCCTACATGAATTGAAACGAAGCATGTCCCGCCGCAATCATTGATGATTACCCAGATAGTCGCCTCATGGGAGGGAGGTGCTGCCAGGGACCCAGGAATGTCGGGACTCCTGGAGAGCATGAGTACTGCTCACTCTTGAGGACAATTAAGTTCCTGAAAGGCACGAAAGTGCTATATGAAGCACGCTAACGTCTTGACCGGGTTTCTCAATTGATCATAAAAACTATTTAATCAAAGCAGCATTATCTAGCTACGAACATAAAAAAAAAAACTGTCACTTGTGTGGTTAGTATTATTATGTGGTGATTCATGAGAAACCACACATGCATCATAGAGGGCCACTACAAGAATTAGCCTGATCAAGCGGAACTAGTTGACTTTTTAGGCTACATGTTTGTTTGTGTCTTCATGTGAGAGGCGATGATCCGGCAGTTTATTCACCATCTGGAAGATTAGTCTGGCAATTCATATGCTGCTACCTTAGAAAAGCTAAATCATCACTTCAAACTGCAATCAAATTCGAGAGAGAGAGAAACTTGAGTGAACTAGGCTTATTATATACACCCTTAATGATGTTCTTATTATTTTATTAAAGCTCAAAAATGCTCTGTTAAAAGATAACATGCCAAGAAGGGGACAGATGAATGGTCTGGCCTACTGTGAAAAAGGTGCAAAGGCAGAGATGAAACACGGCTCAGAGAGATATACGACGTTGATGTGAGGGTCATACAGCTTCTATTCTAACGTCCTACAGCATTAGACTTTACAAGGTCACCTCTGACTAAAGGACACTTACCTTGTTTCGATGTGGTGCTAATACTTTCATGTATCCTCTTAACCTCGTCTAAAGAGACATCGGTATAAAGGGCTATTTTAGTGTCCCAGCATGTCGTTCATACCAGGTTCCACTGTACTCATTCCGGGCTGCAAGCGCCTCCTTCACGGCAGGATCGAAGCAATGGTCAAGCCTTGGATTCAGAATGAAAAACAACATGAAACTACCAGAAACCGTTCTTGGCCGAAGATTTTGAGCAGGTCAGGGGCTTTTCGTACTCTAATCGTATATAGAAAGAAGGGTTAGATGCTAATGGGACTAAGTCCACCCATGATACCTTGCAACTACCCATAATATAAACTAGTGTATATTATAATGGCACATACATTCACACAATCAAAACGATAATACTCCTATCAGAGTTGAAAAAGGTTCCTTGAGGAAGAGGCTGAGAGACTCTCAATACGGAGCCGTTCACATGAACTGGGAGGGAGTGGCATCTGCGTTCAGGAGGTCTTCTGGGAGAAATGGGATGAACCGCGAGCGCGAGGTAGACGACTGGCTCGTCAAATCTTGCCACCAAACTGGACTCCTCCTCCGATGACCCGTTGCGCAGGGGAGAGATGTTCTGAATAAACATTGCAACAAAGTTTTATATTGTGGAACTGGTTATTGCTTGGACCCACGAGTACACAACATTGAAACTTTTTGCACGTTTGTGATGTCACTGTTTTTTACTCGACTCTAGGCCAACTTATCCCATGTGTCACCAGGCCACAACTGAATTGAGCGTTGCCAAAACTAGTAGCTATCAGCTCCCAGTGTTCTTTACTCTCGTCGGCCACAAACATTATATTAACCTCACAACAGCCACCAAGGAGCAGGGAGGAAGTGTCATGACTAGGTACTGAAAATCAAGCAGTTACTCTGAAGGACCTACACGAGAAAGACCAAGGCAAACCGAAACACGGCCATGTTATTTTTTCAGTTTTAACAATATTGACTTTTTCCTTCCTTCAGTGAAATCAGATTGGGTTTTTAAAGGATTGGAATCATTTGTGAGTATATTATATATTATACCACCCACAAATAGTCTAAAATAACTTTATTATAACAGGAAGTTTTTTTGGAATGAAAGTTTGAAGAGCAGCATATAGGTGCTGTCTATGCATACCACACAGCTATCGTTGTAGAAAATATCAGCAGAGCCATTACTTTTATGCCTTTATACTATATTTCAATCACAGTCACCCTCCATCCTACTAGAGTACCTTTCTGTAAAGAACATTAAGATTCTGTCTGGCCCCTCTAATAATAATAGCTAACTAGTGTCTCATCTAAGTAAGAGACCTCTCTAAATATTCAGTGTCTCAAGTTCCTCTTATTTCACTGTACACTGTCGTATTGGCAGTGGCCTTTCTTTCCTTCTTTCAGGAGTTTTGATATGCCTTGTGTCAGGAGGTTGACTCCCCAAAATAGATGATGCATTGAGTGGTCTCAAAACAGATCTGACCGTGGCAGTGGGATTCTTCATCACTGACCTCTCAAGAAATGGTGTTCAGAGGTTAGATGGAAAAAT